GAGGACGGGGAAGAAGAGGGACCATCAGGCAAACACAAGGGGTCCGACCTATAATGGCGATGACTATCTGTTACGAACTGAGGAGTATTTCCAACTCAACCCTGTTCCTGAGATAAATAACATAATAAATGAGATAAATGGGAATAATAAAAGTATCTTCCACTTAACCCATAGGGTTTTTAGGAGATTCATATGGATAGGGCACAACATAGTCTCAGCTATTAGTGTGGGTTAGTTTAGGAACATGGCCACTGCAGTTTTCTCAAGCTTCTCGCTCTTTGGGGGGAAGCTGTGTCTCACCCAGATCTTGTTCGGGACTTCCGTTTGATTTAGATGGTAACAGGGCTTATCAAAACGAGGGAACAGGCCAGGCAACATCACTTTTAACTGCATATAAGCAGCTCAAGTATAATAGGTTGGAATCATAGAATAAATTCATCACGTTTAAAATGACTTGTTCATTGCCTTTCCCACCAGATCATTTCTGTGTGGTTCACCACCTAGCATGGTGTTGGGGCTGTGCTCATTGGTCAAGGAGCATTTATGTGAAATGAGGTAATGAATGAGACCTTTTCCATTTCTGCAGAAAAAAGATTAGCAGGTGGCTTTCAGTTTACTTAAAAAATGAGATTCTCCAGAGAAGGACCCTAGAGTTAGTCACCTGTATATGCCTAACATGTGGCATAATAATTAGCACAGAGCGGAAGCTGACTAAACCTTGAATAAATGAACAAGTGAAAGAATACAGTGTGTTAGATGCCACCAGTGGGGTCAAGCAGAGAGCTGTGGGATCCATCAAAGTTCTGGTTCATGACCTCACTGTAATTTTGGTTTGAGGCAAAAGAAAGACCCTTCAGGCTTCAACCTTAAGCTTGACCTACCAGTTGAACTACTGGCCTCAGAGATAAGAAGCCCTGATATCATGTCACATTATCCTGGGAAAGTAACTTAACCTTAGGCTTCTATTCCCATTTTGAGGGTATGAGAGTAGCACATTGGTTCAAATACGCTTTGAAGGCTGTCAAAGCGTGCTTCCCTCAAGAACGATGTCATTGTAAATACCTGCTCTTACCCACGGATGGGAAACAGAACGTTCTGGTGAATGAAAACAAGAGTTTCATTAATGCAAGTTACACGTAGACAGCCAGTTTTCAGAGAATGAGAATTCTTGACTACAAACAAAAGCCCATTCTGCCACTTGCTAATTCTGTAGCTTTGGAGCGTCAATCTCTCTCAGCATCTGTTTCCTCATTTGTTGGATGAAAATGACAGTAGCCTCTGTCTTACAGAATAGGGGTCGGCAAATACTTCTGTAAAACACCATATGGCAGATATTTTTGGCTTCGCAGGACCTGTATTTCTATCACAACTACGCAACTCTGCCATTATAGTGTGAAAGCAGCCAGAGACAGTACACACCTGGGCAAGCCTGCATGTGTGCCAATAAAACCTTATTTACACATACTCAAGTTTGAGTTTCTTATAATTTCCATGTGACAAAACGTATTATTCTCCTTTTGATTTTTTTTCCAACCATGTAAAAACCTTTATACAAATACAGGTGGCAGGTTGGACTTGGCTCTTGGGCCATGGTTTGCCAACCACCAATACAGAGCTTCTGTGAAACTTAAATGAGGTCCTAGTGAGGGCTCAATAAATGTTAGCTTACCATCCTTACTACTGTCAATTATCTAAGTGGAAAACAAACAAAATTCACAATTACAGATGAAGTGTGATGACAACTAGGTAGATAGAGGAAGAAATATGCCAACATGCTAACAGTTACGGTGTTGGGATAGTAAGAATCAGCTTAAAATGCTTCTTTTTTTTTTTTTTAAGAATAAAGCCTACATTGGAATTTGACACAACATGGTAAAATGATTATAAATCAATAAAAAATGTTAAAAGCAAAAAAAAAAGAATAAAGCCTAAAAATTATATCACAATGAGAACATAATTTAAATAACAGACCCAAGTCTAAAAACAGTTAACAGTAATTATATTGAATATAAATTCAATCTTCCTCTCATAATTCAGAAGGCACTTCAGGTGTCCTTTACGCCCAGGGATCAGCAATAAGCATCAGTTACTACTGGAGAAGACAACAGATTTGGAAACTAAGACTGGGGGCTGAACTTATGCTGATCTTAGACCACACCCAAGAAACTGCTTTCCAAGTAGGTCTACCTCCTACTCTTCTTTGCCCTCCTTATCAGTGTGTTTACTATTCTAAAGGTCAATAAGTCCCCAATCTAATGAGAGAGAGAGAGAGAGACAAGAAAACGGCCAAACATAGTAAGATGTAGAGGGGAAAGCAGCAGATGCAGGAAGGAAGAGCATCCGACCCAGCTGAGGGGGGAAGTGGCTGTAGCTGGGTAGTTACAAAACCATGGGTTGAATCCATTTCACCCGTCTTCACTAAGCAAGGTCGTTTTAAGACTTGCATGTCCTCCAAGAGGTATGTAAGCGAAATAGCAAAACGTTTGCAGAATGACAATTATTGCTCCCCTATCTCTTCACTTGACAGCCTTGCGAATGAACCTTCTCTTTGCTGCAAACATCAGTGTCTTAGCATTTTGGCTTGCTGTGTATCAGGCAAGATGTACCTGTTTTGGAAACAGTTATAGAGAGCTTCCTAGAGAGGTGGAGATGGAGCTAAATTCTAAAGGAGGAAAGGAAGGAAGCCAGAGTGTAAGAAGAGCATTCCAGACAAGGGTACCCCCTTGGAAAGCAAACCGAGGCAAAGGCTGGAGCATTGAGGGATTGTAAACATGGAAGCTGGGAAAGCAGGATGCAAGCAGGAGAGTGGGGAAGATGGTACTAGAGAAGTAAGCAAGAGTCTGTGGACCCTTTTTGCCATACTCATGGTTTAAGACTATATGCTAGTCCTTCAATTGTTACTTGACTTACAAGTCTCAGTTATTTCATAGTAAAATGGTAAGAATGGCGTCCTCCTAGTAGGATTAATGCTGGAGAGATTAAATGAGATAATGTATTGAGTCCTCAATATACTTCAAGATATACTTTATACTACTGAAATTAGTCTATTCAAAACACTGTTTTGAAAAATCTTTTCATATGAAAGGTACATGCTTTTCCAAAAAAACCCCTGCAAATTCAAAACAATGCCTGCATTTGAGAGCTGTTACGCAGTCAGAATTTTTTGACTAGTTGAAGCCCCATTTCACGAAGGACAATCACCCATATGTTCTGGTCCCAGGCAATGATGAGGACAATAGAAGGTAAGTGGGAGTTAGGGTTGGGAGGCAGCCTCCTAAATGGCTGCACTGTAAGGGCTTGGAAGCTACTCATTTGCTATTATTTAAGGAAAAAAAGCATCAATAGAGGATCCATTCTGAATGTTTTGTTGGAGAGTCCAACTTCTCACTTTGAAATATATCAAAACACTTATCACGTAGTGAGGTGTTTTTTTTTGTATTTTGTTTGTATTTGTCAGTAAAAATTTTTCCTACTGTGTTGCTAAAATTATTTTTGTATTCTTGGTACCTTTTAATTTATATTTATGCTTTATCAATAAAATAAGAGTGATCTTTAATTCTTTGAACTGGGCCATGTTCTGATTCTATCTGACTTTCTAATTTGCTTTGAAAGGGAAGAAGTAAATGAAAATTTTGCAAGTAGGAATGACAGTTCAGTTTTTGGATGAGAGCAGTGCTTTGTAAACCACAGGACCAGGATTTATGTTAGATTACTGTTATAACATTTTCTTGAAAAAAGTTGAATGTAAGCTAACAATTACTTTAAAATAATGTTTTTTAAAAAATCTTGTACACTTAAATATTGGAAATAGCAGCCAAAATGGCACAGAGTCAGAAGCAAAAGTTACAGGGGTTAATTAGTCTTTTCAACCTTACTTCTGACATACACTGGGACTGAGATGCCTTTGTATTTCCTATCTGGAAAAGAGAGCGATTATACTTGTAATCCACAAATGCCCAGGGCTGAAAAGTGGTATTTTGAAATAAGTGCATTAATACACTCTGAGAGTGGAATGAGATGGTTTCAGAATTCTATTGTGAATGTATTTCAGCTCTTCTGGTCTCTGTTCCGTAGGACCCACCAGCTCCTACTTCCCAACTCTGGGGATTAATATGCTACATCCTTCAATCCTGTGGAAACTATTAAAAAGGAAAGCTTATTACATAAGTTAATTGACCTCTGCATTGGGTAATTTGTTTGGTTTTCTTCCCAGTGGCAGTCGAAAAAAATGCCATGAAAGTGTTAAAAATTAATTCATCTTTTTTTTAGGAGAGCAAATTCAATACGTAGCAAGAGCTCAAAAAACATACTTATTATCATCTGACCCACTAATTATACTTCTGGGAAGAAAATAAGCAGAGACTTCTCATACAGTTGAAACATTTAAAAAGTGAAAACAAACTTAAAACGCTCAATAATTGGGGAATGACTAGCTCACCCGGAATCATAAACTGACAAAATATTATGCAGCCATTTAAAAGGATATGGACAAAGACTATGCAAATACATTACAAAATGTGTTTAAAATAATGCTAAATGCATGGAATATGTACATAATGATTACAAAAGTGCAAAAACAATGTAATTGTATAATATTGAGGAGAAGAATTTGGGAGACAATGTAAGAAGTAGCTGGTCTACGTTGCACATGGCATTTCTTTTGAGTAGATGATTTTGGGGGGTAGTCTCTGAAATAGTACAAAATGCTGTGATCAACTTATCACTTAAGTTTCCTTGCCCCTTTTCTCTTTTCTTCTTTTTCCTGGTGCACAACACAGTGATTCAGTATCTCTATACATTTTAAAATGATCATCACAATAAATCTAGTTACCATTCTTTCTTTTTTAAAAATATGGCCCTGAAAGGCGACCTCAGCCTTATACTTGCCCATTTTTCTTCCTTTCTTATGTCTCAGAGGAAATGCGTTTTTTTCCCTCCCAATAAATATTCTGAACGTGTTTTATTCAAGAATCGAGTTTAGTAGACATTCAGTTACTCACTCTTTGGCGCGCCCATGAGGTCCCTTCCGCTGGAAGTCGTGACTACTTAGTGAAGACACACTGGTCCTCTTCTTCAGTGAATGAGCCATTCTGTCTCTAGCCATGTCTGACATCGTCATAACCTATGGGAGAAAACTTTCATAAAATATCGAACAGAAAATCTGAAAACATTTTAGTTAGTGTAACACAGAGATTCATTCTAAATAAAGTATTCAGATACTTCCCCCACCCCCATTTTTGAATCGAGAAGTAGGGTTTCCTTAAGAGTGATTTTTAGTATATGTAGTTCTTCTGGTCAGTATAACTGGACATATGTTAACTCCGGTAACTTTTATTTATGCAGTAGCACACAATTCACAGAAGCAGACATTAAGTTGCAGCAAAAATAACTTAACTGCCAAAGAGGTAAAATTCACTGAGAAAAGATAGCCATATGTAGAAGAAAGAAATTACTCCACACCAGAAAGCAGTATGTTTTATTGTCCCCCAAATTTAATCTTAAAATAAAAGTTTGCTAATTGTTGTTGCCAGTACTTTAAAAATTAAAATGAACTGTCTTCTCCAAAGGGTTTTTTTTTTCCCAAGCAATAGTGATTTACTTTGTAAAGAGCAAACAGAACTTTAAAGGAAGTGATTTATTGGAAAATCTACATCCTCTCACAAGTGCTTGCTAAAAAGCTGGAAGGAGGAATGGACCTCCCAGAACGCAGACTGTAACTCTACTGCCCTACTGCCTACATACACATTTAGACATTCATTTAAATTATTTTATAATCTGTAAATCTGAGAGCCCTAACCAGAAGACACTGTGCTAGACACTAAAACAGAACTAAAACCTGAAGTCCTTGCCTTCAAGGAGCTGACAGTTGAGTACAAAATCTAAAACCGCAGTGTGATCAGTGTCAGGGCAGACAGAGGCAAAGGGCACACAAATACAGCAGAAGATCCGTGTGTTAGGAAGAGCAGCAGTGTGGGGAGTGTTTGTGTACCCGTGTGTGACAGTGTGTGTGCAGGAATGTGAGCACCTCTGTGTGAGCCTCTCTCTGTGAGCACGTGCTTGTATGAGCATGAGTGTGTCCCCAGGAGTGTGCGAAGCTGCGGTTTGAGTGAGAATGTGTACATTAATGTAATTGTGTGCCTGAGTGCCTGTGTGAGCATCTGTGTCTGCACCTGTGTATATGAGTGATTATCTGTGTACCTGAGTGTGTGCCTTTGTGTGTGATGTGTCTGTATACTGAATGTGTGCTTGTGTGTATGAGTTTGTCAGTGTGTGTACGTGTCTGTGTATGTGAGTGTGCCCATGTGAATGCGTATATGTGTTGACAAGACAAAGTGAGCCTGTTTAAGTGAGTCATTCTGGTTCCTATCTTAAAATGACACAGACAGACCTCGATCTGCTCACCTGTTTCCAAAACTGCCCCGCAGTCTAGAATTTGGACCTAGAGGTCCGGAGTGGATGCGGCCGCCAGTGTCCCCAGGGCGACCTCAAGCAGACTGCTCAGAACTCATGCTGCTCCAGGACCCGACAAGGCTGGCTGGCTCTGCACGGGACATCTCTCTAAAGGCCAGACACGCAGGCGGGCAGGGGGCCAAAGGCCAGGACCCGCTTTCAGTTCCCAAATCTGGAGCTAGTTCTTATTTGTCGGAGGGAGAGGTAAGGTATCAGAGAGAGAGATCGTGGCCAAGGCAAGCAGGCCATTTTTGACCCAGGGCCCTCCCTCCTCAGCCCCCTTGACCCTCGCCAATTTGCCTTTTGCATTCTTTCTCTCTCTGCTTCTGCTCCCGTGCGCTGTGGAGAGGCCGCACTTACCTACGGCAGGGCTGGAGCCGCGGGCGCGGCGCGGCGGGGGCCTCCCAGACCGCAGGCTCGTCCAGGCTCCCGCCTCCCAGGCTTCCCTCTGCCGGCGACCGCCCGCGCTCTCCCCCTGGACTGCGCGGTGCGTCTCCAAGGTGACCTCCTCAAACAGAGTCCTTGGCCCTCCCCAGACGGACAAAGTAGTTGCGTGGGCCTCAGGGCCGCCTACGGATGTGAAGGATCTCATCGTCACTGCCCCGGGGTGCCTGCGAGCTGGAGGGGAACCGATTCATCCTATGGCGAGGGGGCCATCGGGGACCCAAGATGCAGTCCTGAGAGCCCTCACCAGTTCCTTTTTTACAGCCGGCGATGTCAGGGGCAGGGGCGGGAAGTGCGGCCGGTTCCAAGGACAGGAAGTACGAGGCACACGGAGAGGGCAAACCAACTCCTTCCCTTCCCCGACTCCTGACGCTGCTTCCCCCACCCGCCTCGGAGTCGCCGATGGTTGGTGATGGGGATAACTTACTGAAAGCTCACACTTACCAGATATGGGCACACAGTCGGTTTTATCGAGCCGTCCCCTTCCAGGGAGGGGTGTTCTTCCTTTAAGATTTAGAGAATTTAGATTTTCAGATATTGAAGAAGACCCCTTGAATTTCTTACAGGTTTATCTCCTGTGCATTAGAAACTTTCACTTTCCTTAGCATTGTCCTCAACACCACTCTCTCCAGTCCTTAAAGTTTAAGATTTGAAATGGAGGCTGTTTGGGGTAGGAGACCTACCTGACGTAACTAATAGGCCCCTCCTCCTCAGTAACTATCCCCCTTCTAACCTCAGAGCCCCTCCTCCAACCCAAAGCAAACAAAACCGGACCCTGAAGAGACCTTCCCGGAGTGGGCAATGTTGGAGGTAGAAGTAAGATGGCGTCTCGAAGCGCTCGGCCTGGCGCACGGCCGTGGAGGGGTGCTCTGCGCAGTCAGTGGCAATTCATCAGGATAAAGGTAGAACGCATGAGGGTTAGCATAGTGTTGGAGAAAAAGCATTTATGTTTCTTGGCCTATCTCAATCCCTAGTCACAGAAAAATAAGAACAGAAATGGATTGTTTATTGACTATACTATGTACTAGGTAGGAACTGTCAGCTGACTGATGAATATTATCTCATTTAATCTGTTCAATGACCCTATGATAAGGGGATATTAACTCCAATTTTTTTTTTTAAGAAAAA